GGGGAGGGAGAAGAGGTGGCTGGGAGTGGTTTGAACGTAGGCTGCCGTGTGACGTGTACCTTCGCCCTCCGAGAGCTTTTCTCCCAGCCGGGTGAGTTTGGCTCTCAGCTCGGACGCGGCGATGAAACCCTTCTTCTGCTTGTCTGTCATGGCCAGGGCTGCCAGGATTTCCTTCATGGGGTCTTCCTGCTGCATTTGCCTGTACATTATGGTCAGGAATGTGGAGAAATCCAGTTCTGCCTTTCTGTCTGGGAGCAGGACACAAAACGGCAAATGTTACTGGGTAGCTACGATGACAGGGTCTGGTTACAAGAAAGTAACGGAAGGGAGGTATATTAGCCTCAGACTGAGGAGATCTCTGTTCTCAGGGTAACATGCAGGGTCTGGTCTCGAACCAGCAGAGGGCAGTTGAGCCCCTGGAGCTAATTGAGAGGGCTTGCAGAGTCAGGGGTGTGTGGGCTAATTAGAACACCTGGGGCCAATTAAAGAACCAGTTGAGACTGGCTATATCCCTGCAGTTAGTTAGGTGCGAGAGTAGCTGAGAGGACGGAGGGAGCGCTGCTGATTGTTTAGGAGAAAAGCACCAAGTGGATACTGTGAGGACGAGCCTGAGAGAAGGAAAGTGCTGGGAAGTAGCCCAGGGGTCTTGGAGCTGCCTCATAGCAGGTGTTGGAGACTCTCTCATAGGCAGCTGCTATTACAAGGCCCTGGGCTGGAACCCAGAGTCGAGGGTTGGGCTCAGGTTCCCCCCAACACCACTTGGAAAAAAGATGGGCTGGGGAAAAGAAAGAGGTTTACCCAGCCCTGTGTTCATTTGGGAGTCCACTGGGACTGTGGAGTTTGTTCTCCCTCTATACCTTACTCTGGCCAGTGATGAGAGGAGCTCAGCAAACAGCACGTTGATGCCCTAGGCGGGGTGCCTAAAACTGAGGACTGCCATGAGCTTCTGAGGCAAGCAACTCCTCCGGAAAGTGCAGGACCCACCCCGTTCAAGTAGGAGCTTTGTCACACTCCTGACGTAGACACGCCCTGTCAGCCTCGCATCCTCCACCCTTTGTTCTTCCCCTTCTCTCTCAGAACTCGGCCTGCTGGCCCAATCTAGAGCAACAGCCTGGTCTCTCCTTGTTTGTATTGACCGGATCTGGGTGGTCGGTCTCTCGCTGACAGCCCATCTTGCCTGCCTCGTGTCCCTTCCAAAGGCCTCATGCTGCACTAGGCCTTTGCCTTGTCAGTGCGGAGAGACGTTACCGAGGGCCTGCCTGAATTCGGCTGGTCTCGGAGGCCTCCCCTAGCGAAAAGGGGAACTCATTTGGGCCCTAGCATGGGGGTGATGGGGCCATGGCTGTGTGGGGTTAATTGGGAGCCTCGTTCATCCTGCTTCTGTAGGGTGTTTAAAGTTAAGGGCAGCCCTCCTGGTGCATAAGGTGAATTGAAAGAATAAGTACAACTGGTGGCAATACTGCCTCAGCCTGAGTAAACTGCCAAGGACCTCCTTGTAGGGGCCCTTCTGGGGAAAACCTTATGCCATGAAAAGGGCCTGAACCAAATTTCAGCTCATCTGTGGATGGATGTTTTCCTCATAGTCACTGGAGGAGCCTGGTCTTGAACTGTAACAATTCCATAGCTGGGGGGTGTACAGCTTCCGTGGGCCTCGGGGCAAGGTGTGTGGAGGCCCCAGCTCTGCACCCCCAGAAGGGTGGGGCTTGAGGTGGGACCAGGGCAACCAGCCCTCAGTGTAGCCCAGGCTATGGTGCTGGGCCCCCAAGCCTTCAATACCATGTAGAGAGGTGCTCTGGCGGTCATTTAAAGGGGCCAGTGGTTCTGGCCGCTGCCAGAGTAGCAGTGGGCCTGTCTGTAGCCTTGTCAGATGCTCAGAAAACGTTTGGTGTCCACCACCTCAGTTCATGACTCTTCGGGGACCCCCATTCTGTGCTTTTTAGAAATAATTGGATAAAACATCTGGAGCTGAAAATGACGTTTTTCGTTACCTTCCTCGTAGCCTAGTGTGGCAGGACTCGCCAATCTCGGGAAGGTTGCAGCTCATTACAACTGCAGCAGCACAATTTTCCTAAGTGCGTGTCTCCTTTTCTTACTCCTCCCTTAGGCCACCATTTTCAGACCTCTTTTTGACGTATCTGCAGTGTCTTCTATATGTGCCACTCTCATCCGTCACCCAGCACATCTCACCACTCTTGTGACCAGTTCCTGGTTATCCTGTATAAGCTGGGCTGTCCCATCTTAAACCCAAATCTAATTAGATTCCTGCCATGCTCATTTTTATTGCTATAGTCCCTTGACATCAGAAAAGCTGAGTCTTAGAAAATTCCATCACGTTCTGCTGCTTCTGCTAGTTTGGATGGGGTGGTCCTTTTCGTTGAATATTTTAGATTTACTTTTCCCTGGGTTGTTGTCAGATTGTGAGTTCTACATATCATCCATCTGGTTTTAATAATCCTTGAAATCTACGTCTATTTTACTTACCAATTTTATGCCCTTGAAGATGTCTCTCTACCTCTCGTAGAGTTGGGCTGGTTCCCAGGCACCGCATCACTGTGATTAGGTCGCTGGCATTTATCTTGCCTTTTTGTTTCTTATCATATAGAGAAAAACATTCCTTGAATTCTAGTTCAAAACAAAAAATACCGTGTTGCCATCCAATATTGTCTTAGTCTCTGTCACACTCCCCTCTTTCCCCCTGTGCTTTTATGAAAATTGACTTATGAATAGGAATATGCATAACTCCCAGATACTTTATTCAAAGCCGGTCATGTAACATATCATTTTTAAAGTTACAGTCTGTTGAATCTATGTAGTCTATTTTTGTGTATGTGTCATTCTTGAATGTGGAGTTAGAAATGTGAAGTGTGAATCTGTTTTAATTCTAAATGTGCAAATGAGAGGAATTTAATGATACTTTAGGAACTTAATGGCTCAGTACTCAAACCAACAACCTGTGAATGGTTTTATTTTTCCTTTAAGCCCAAACTGTGGTTGATCCTAGAAAGACCTGGTACTGGAATCCATCTTGAATATGGTACTTTTCCATGGGGATGGGCATATTGAACCAAAGGTTCCTGTCCTTGGAGAAAGACTGTCTAAAGAATGGAAAGCAATCAGTCTTTGTCTTCAGCTGGCTTTTGAAACTGCCTTGACACCACCCTAAGAAGATACACACAAAGAAACCTGGAAACAAAGAACTCTAAAGACCTCTGAAAAGCTTTAGACCCAGGACAAAGTAAAGATCAACTCTGAATTGATGCATTTTACTTGAGATAAGAACAGCTGTTGAGGGTAAGAATTTGCATGTAACAAATTTCTTAGTATATTAGAATTAGCTGCGGCTTTTATTATTTTAATCTAGTAACTTACTTTGATCTGTCTATTTTCACTTGCAGTCACTTAAATCCTACTTTTTATACTTTTGTTTACTATCAAGCCCCATGTGTAAATAATTGCTACCCGGTGGAAGTGAAGCAACCACTGTTCCTATCTCTCTTTCATTGAGAAAGGGGGCAGATATCTTTCTGAACGTTGTGCAAAACTTTTACACAGTGTAGACAGATTTATTTGGGCTTTTGGTTCCTTTTGGTGGGGGAGGGTCACTTTCCTGGGTATTGTCAAAGGCCTTATAGCTTCTCCCAGAGCTGAGCTAATTGCTCTGCAGCAGGATGGTGACCCCAACTTTGTGCCTTGGTTGGGGGAGCCCAGAGCTTCTGGCTTCGCAGGACTGGGTGGTTGTGGAGCCCGAAAAGGCAGGAAGGTGGGCATTAGTGGTTTGATCAGCACACCAGAGGACAACCCCAAGGGGATTTCTGTGATCCAACCGTTTAGTCAGGACATGGAATTTTCCTGCAAATCTACGACAGGTTGCCCCGCTATAAACTGGAACTCTCTGGTCCAGCAACATCCATGGTCCAGCAGGAACATGGATGTTCCAGGATCAGAGAGTCTTGATGCGCTGTGGGAGTGGAGGGGCCGGGAGCCCAACATGGTGCAGGAGGAGTTGGCAGCTGGGTTGCTGGGGGAGCCAAGAAGCGTGGGGCTGGCAGCAGGAGAGGCCAGGAATGACCTTGCCTGATCCAGCAAAATCCCCCATCCAGGATCAGTCTGGTCATAACCAGGGAGGTCCAACCTGTAATCAGGAGGAAAAAGCAGCCAGACTATTTAAATCTGCAAAATGACTGGTCGGAGTTTGAAACTTTCAGCATTTTTATCAACCCTTGTAGCTGAAGTATCAAATGAGTTCCTGAACTCTGAGTGTTGTTTGTGTGTGTGCACATGCGCGTGCGCATACGTGTACACATGCTAGACCTCTCCAAAGGGGAGAAGGGAACAGAGAAAAAGAGCAGCTGGTGTTTTGTCATTGAACTCCAGCTCCTGAACTTGTGGTCCAAGTGACGGGTGGCCTTTTCTGTCTGGCTTCTCTAGTGGCTTATAGTGCCACTAGCTCCCGTGGTGGAGATGCACAGTTAGAAGGGACCTTGAGGAGTTACCACGTCCAGTCTCCTGCACGCCGGCATTTGTCCAGTTTCCAGTGAGGAGGATTCCACAACCTCCTTGGGAAGCCTGTTCCAGAGCTCAGCTTGCCCTGAGCATTAGAAGGATTGCCCTAGTATCTCACCTGAAACTCTCTTGTTGCAGGCTAAGCTCATCACTTCTTGCCCCACCGCCAGTGGCCATGGGGAACTACTGATTGCTGTCCTCTTTAGAACAGCCCTTCGCATACAGGCAGCCTGTCTCGGGTCCCCCCTCAGGCCTCCTTTCACACCTAAACATGACCCAGGCTTCAATCCTTTCCTCAGAAGCCAGGTTTTCGAAACCTGTTACTATTTCTGTGGCTCTCCTTTGGACTCTCCCATTTTCCATCTCTTTCCTTCAGTGTGGCACCCATGAGACACAGTGCACCAGTTACCTCATCAGAGCGGCCATATTGGGTCAGACCAAAGGTCCATCTAGCCCAGTGTCCTGTCTGCCGACAGTGGCCAGTGCCAGGTGCCCCAGAGGGAGTGAACAGAACAGGGAATCGTCAAGCGATCCCTCTCCTGTCAGCCATTTCCAGCCCCTGACAAACAGAGGCTAGGGACACCCTCCCTAACCATCCAAACAGCCACTGATGGGCCGAACCTCCATGAATTGATCTACAGGCAGTCCCCGGTTTACATGGATCCAACTTACATCAGATCCCTACTTACAAACGGGGTGAGGCAACCCCGCACTAGCTGCTTCCCCCCCGCAGACCAGGGAGACGCGGAGCGGCTTTTCTCAGCAGACACCTCAGCTTGAGAATAAAGGACTGAGGGAAGTGAGGTGTGGGAGAATAAAACTGAGCTCTGGAGAAATGTTTGGCTAGAGTTTCCCCTACAATATGTACCAGTTCCGACTTACATACAAATTCAACTTAAGAACAAACCTACAGTCCCTATCTTATACGTAACCCGGGGACTGCCTGTAGTTCTTTTTTGAACCCTGTTGTAGTCTTGACCTTCACAACATCCTCCATCAAAGAATTGCACTGGTTTGGTGAAGAAATATTCCCCTTTGTTTTCAACCTGCTCCCTATGAATTGCATTTGGTGAGTGTTATGGGAGGAAACAGATCATTTTTCTTATTTACTTTCTCCACGCCAGTCAGGATTTTATAGACCTCTGTCACATGCCTTCTCAGTCATTTCTTTTCCAAGCTGAACGGTCCCAGTCTTCTTAATCTCTTCTCATATGGCAGCCACGCCATACCCCGAATCATTTTGGTTGCCTTTTTCTGAACCTCCCATGTCTTCCATGAGACATTCTGGTTTCTACACCCCAGCATGCTACTGGCTTTTTTGGAAACTGCATCATGTTATTGACTTAGATACTATTTGTGATCTGGGCACCGCATTTCAAGAAAGATGTAGAGAAATTTAGAGAGGGTCCAGAGAAGAGCAACGAGAATGATTAAAGGTCTAGAAAAGATGACCTATGAAGGAAGGCTGAAAGAATTGGGTTTGTTTAGTTTAGAAAAGAGAAGATTGAGGGGGGATAGCCTTTTTGATGATAGCCTTTTTCAGGTATCTAAAAGGGTGTCATGAGGAGGGAGAAAACTTGTTCATCTTGGCCTCTGAGGATAGGACAAGAAGCAATGGGCTTAAACTGCAGCAAGGGAGGTTTAGGTTGGACATTAGGAAAAAGTTCCTAACTGTCAGGGTGGTTAAACGCTGGAATAAATTGCCTGGGGAGGTTGTGGAATCCCCATCTCTGGAGATATTTAAGAGTAGGTTAGATAAATGTCTAACAGGGAGGTCTAGACAGTATTTGGTCCTGCCATGGGGGCAGGGGACTGGACTGGATGACTCTCGAGGTCCCTTCCAATCCTAGGATTCTATGATTCTATGAACCTAGGTCCTTACCCAACTCCTGTCTAGTCAGTTACTCCCCCACTGTGTAGTTGTGCGTTCACTTTTTCCTTCCCACGTGCAACACCTCACACTTCTCCGCCCCACTTGCTGGCTTCAGACCCGTTCTCCAGTTTGTCGTGTGAGTACCACTCTGTGGGTCCAAGCTTCTCTGCTCTGTCCCAGGGCACTGAGCTCAGAGGAGAGACTAGCTTGTGGAGTACCCACCACCCCTCCTGCAGCAGTGTTGCATTCTGGAGGACAGGAAGGAGGTGCCTGAGGGGGAGGGTCAAAAAGGAATAAACGGAAGGAATAAAGAGGAGAAAATGCAAGAAAACAAGATGGCAGAGGAGAAAACAGATGGGGGGTGGGGGGGTGGAGCAGCATGGCAGCCAGGGAATGACGAGAGCAGATTCCTGAGCAGAGAGGGTGGTGCCAATCTATCCCATGGGGGACTTTATAGGGATGTGGCTGTCCTAAATCCCCAGAGTGCCCAGTCACCCAGGGAGCTGTCTCTCCCTTGAAACAGGGACCATCCTGGAGCATGACCCCACAATGGTGAGACACGAGGGAGTCTCTGTGGCCCTGTGTACAAGCCCCAGTTTGGAGTGGGAGGATGGAACAGCTAATTCCATCAGCGGCAGCAACTCCAGCCGCTTTTAATAGATTCAGACTAATGAGCTAGGGTGTGCTTGAGCTCCTTCACTGTTCATCAGCGCACCAAAGGATCTCGGCTTGGGAAATAGCTCTTTAAACACTTCACTGTCTAGATCGACTGGGTGGAATGCTAATGAAAAAGAGGACGGTGGCGTTGAAACAATTGACCGACATTCTCCGAACGACTAAGAGAATCCTACAGAGGCAAACGGCTCACATCTCTGGCTCCTTCTCCCTCTGATTCCCAAAGGACCCATGGCTGGGTGACACGCCGAAGGAAATGAACAAAGGGAAAATAGGGAAATAGATTCCCAGCACTGAGATGTCGACATTTTGAACGGTACTGAAAGAAATCCGCCATGCTGCTGTGGCCTGCTACCACGTCAAAATACAACTGTGTGAGGGTGAGGGTGATTTTTGTGTGTGTGTGTGGCAGCGTCTGTATTTTTTGGTAGTACAATATCTACTACAATGTGCTCCTGGCTCATGACCCGGGGTCAGGCAAAACAAATCTATGTTAGTCTTGCTAACCTTTTCCCAACTCCTTCCCATATCCTCTTGATGGGACCAGAATTCCAGATCAACACCTCCTTGAGATGAATGGGAGCAGTATCGTCAGTTTTGTTGTGTTTGGAGTCTGGCAGACATCCACTGTATCAGCTTGAGTTTGACAGTCACCCTGACAGCCTTAAAGGTGAGAGAGAAGAGTTTAGAGTCTATGGCAGGGGCTGGCTTAAAGTTGGAAACTTCACAGCCCAAAGCAGCGTAGAAAATAGATGGCTGGTTTGAGAAGATGGTTAAGACCTTGCCACAGCTGTGTTGAAATCTGGCAAGTAGTAGAGTTCCTTACAATGACTGAGATACAGTATGGACCTGTCTCCACAGCTTAGGCAAAAGAACAGTCAATTTGTCGGGGAAGATGGCGCCTGAATTTCTAAAGATCGGCTCCTTTAGCTAATAAAGTTAGCCTGGATTTTAACTCATTGGGCTGATGGTGCAGGAGAGCACGTTAGCAATAAGCAATTAGCAATAAGCGAGCTTCCTAATGCTTTCCCGCATCCTGATTGTGGTGCGTTCTGTTGAGCAATTAGGTGAGCCCTTAGGTTGGGTTCTGCAGGCCGGTTACTCTCTGCTGTTAATTAGGATCATGTGACTCGGGGCTGTAGAGTGCAGCTGGACAGATTTGGAGCTGAGTGCAAAGGCTGAGCAAAAGTCTATCAATGACATTGGTACCTATGGGTCTGTTGGACTCACTGTTCAAAGCTCATCGTTGCAAAGGAAGCACCGGGTGGCCAGGAAGGGGAACTAGAGGCAGCAACGAAGGGGTCATGATGCAGTGTGGACAAGGCATAGGGTGCAGCTCAAACTCGTCAATCGATCAAAGCACTTTCACGATGGAGGGTTTTGTTCTCTTTGTGGCGGGAGAGGGGGATGGAAACACACACAGATCCGTTGCCAAGCTGGGGGATAGAACTCCTAGAGCTCTGGACGACCACTGGGCCCATTTCCTGCCACGTCTAGATCTCCTCGGCCCCCTTCAAATGATGTGTACAGGGTCAAGTGTGGGGAGTCGGCTGTGCTGAAGGTGGAGTCCGCGAGAGCCCCCGGACCCAAGTGCTGTTTTGGGGGCATACTTTTTTGTTGTGCTCTTTTAGTCTGTGGAACCAGCCTTTCAAACAGGAGATGGCTGTGTGTGTGTGTGTGTGTGTGTGTGTGTGTGTGTGTGTGTTTGCGTGACTCCCTGTCAAAAATCTCCCCAGCTGAATTTCACAGCAGCAATAAATAGCGTTGGAGGGGGTTGTGTGGTAGCTCTCTTCCCTCAGGGCTGGCCCATCCCTCCTTTGAATCTCACCGGGATTAGGGCTGGGCTCTGCTGTGGGCAAGGGGGAGGATAGACCCCGAGTTCAGCAGCTGGATGAGGTGAGGCCGCTGGGGCCACGTGGGGACTGTTAAACTTGTTCGCTGCCCGGGTGCTCTGCTGCGGCCGTGGGCCGTGCCGCGCTTTCTAACCCCCCTCAATTTAAACATTGGTGCGGCTGCCATTTATTCCCAGGGGGAGGAAGAGCTGAGGTAGATTTTGCCGTTGGGGATTGCTAGTCAGGTCCCCTGCAATGGGCTAGCCCACCCCAGGTGTAGGGGGGTGAGTTAGCCCGGGAAATCCCAGGCCTAAGGTGAGCCTGGTCCCTAGAGGGGAATCCTGGCCCTCGGAGTGAATGCGCCTTGAGCTACCTTGCAGGGACCAGCGGCTACATAGCTAGTCAGCGTTCCCGCTAAGCTGCGCGGCAGCACAGCCCCTGCCCTGCATTG